TTATATATGTTAATAAGAGACCTCAAGTATATATGTTTGATATATAATTTATATTTGCATGTTATATAATTAATTTTTTAATCAAATGTAAACATTAAAATATTATTTTCTATCAAAAAGTAATTTTTTTTTGTTGATTTTTTTTTTTTAATATTTTATTAATATAATGTTTAATTTCATATGCACATTCAAATATTAAAACAAACAATCTTAATCATTCGGTATTGTTCAAATCTGAAAACATTTATTGTTATAATTTTACAAGTGAATTTGATCATATAAGCGGGTTTGGTGATCAAAGAGACTTAATAAAATTGGTGACATAAAACAAACTTTTAATAAAAAACCTCAAGTATATGCATAGTTATTGTACGAGTATGTTTTTACTCAGAAACCTTGAGTTTTTAATAAACATCAATACACCCAAAAATATTATTGCAATAAAAATTCTTAACAAACATCAATAAACTCCAAAGAAATATTAAGATAAAAGAATAAGGAAAAATAGTAGTTTTAGTCCTCGAATTATCGCCATATTGTAATTTTTATTCTTCTGTTATTTATCTAAGCATATTTAACTTGTAATTAGATTGGGTGTGCTAAATAGTAAATAAAGAGAAGTTCATGAGTATGAAGCCGCCATAACTATTTGGGGTCGCTTGGTGTGAAGAATAAAAATAAATAGTGATGAAATAAGTAAATAATGATGAAATAAAAATTGTGTATTTTGTTTGATTGCCATGTTTCGAATAACTTATCCCACCATTTTTATCATAGTGATGGGATAATTTATCTCATATACTTGGTGGAATATGTTATCTCAGGATAATTAATAACGAAATAAATAATCCATAAATAATTTGTTCCCAACCAAACGACACCAAAATATTTCAATCAGCTTAAGTACTTTCCTTTCTAGCATCTTCAAGAAAAGGCTTTAAAAAATAGCAATACATAAATTCGTCAATAGAAAAGCGATGAATTAAAAAATGTGGGATAATTAATAGACGTTGGAGATGATGATAACGATTAATTTGGACGGGGGAATAATAATGGTGAAAAAGAAACCATGTTCTATAAACTCTATTCTCTCTATCTCTGTTTACTTGTTCATTTTTAATTTGATGCATATATTAAAAAAAATAAATTAACATAGTAAGTTTACTCTTTTACTTCTATTAATTGATAGAATTCTAAAACCAATTTACTCATTAAAGAGAGGTTCTATCTTTTTCAAAAGCATTAACTATCTAAATAAATTAAGGATAAAAATATATTATATTTTCTTGATTTGTCAAAAATAACAAGTAAAAAGTTACTATAGAACCTTGCATTAGTTATACACATCGGGGTTGTTTTGTAGAGTATATTAGAAAAAATAATGAATGCATTATCTTTGTGTATTTCTAGTAGTCTAGTACTTTGTTTGGTAGTCTTTTCCAACCTATATATAACTAATGTTTATACACTCTATTGTATATTAAAGTGTGTATTACTAATTAATACCATTGATTTCTACGTTACATACGTTTCTTCTTCTCAATTTTGTTTTGGTAAGAGAAATTAATAGAAAGTTATGTCACAAGAAAATGCAGAAACATATGGTACACGGAGAAGTTTATAGCAGTTAGATTCAGGGATTAATTTAGCACTCTTCCTTTAATTAAAGGTTAAATGTGCTTGATTGAATAACACATGAATAAAAATCACAATATGGCAATAGCTTGGGGACTAAAAATTACACTATAGCAATAAGAATTCTTTTCAAATTTATTGTAATAGACTTTTTTGAAAAAGAAACTAAAAATCGCAATATAGAATTCTTTTCAATTCTATTACTAAAAATAGACTTTTTTGAAGAAAAAAAAACAAATGAATTAATATATTAAATCTGAATAATTAAGAATCAGACCAAATGAAACCCTAATATGAACTATAGGAAGTGTTTTCAATTTGGGTCTATTTGGTACTCCATTGGTCCCTAATTACTTGTCCATTTTTTCTTGGGCTAATTACTTGAGTGGATCCCTTTTAAAAAATAATTACTTATTTTAAATATACTCTTTAATTATTACCATTTATAGCAATATATAACAATATTATATATTTTATTAGATTTGTCTCTCTCTCTTGCCTCTTTCTCCCTTTTCTCTCTCGCTCTTTCTCCCTTTTTTTTCTTTATGTTCTTTCTCTTTTGTTTTTCTTTTTGCTGCTTTTTTTTTGTTGCTCTTTCTCTTACTTTTTTCCCTTTTTCTCTCTCTATTTTTTTTTGTAGAGTAGTTAATGATTCGTAGACTAAATAAAATTTGTATCAATAATTAATTAATTAGGCAAGTAATCTAATCGTAACAAATGAAGAGACATAATAAATTGCAAAATGAATTAAATTTACATTAAAAATGTATTCCACAAATATTAAAGTTGAATTAGTAGAGAATTAAATATGAATGCAAAATGTAGCAAACCAAATAGTATTCTATGTAAACTGAATGAATTTGTATCAACAATGAATTTCACAAGTAATCAATCATAACAAATCAATAAATTACAAAATGAATTAAAATTGTATTTAAAGTGTATTACACAAATATTAAACAAGTAAATAAATTAAATTTGCTTTAAAATTGTATTACACGATATTAAAATTGAATTAGAAGAGAAAATTAAGAATGAATGAAAAACATAACTAACGAAAGACAAGACACCGATCTATAAACTGAATTAAATTTGTAGTATTCATGAATAAAACATGTATTGTATGTGTCTTATAAATTATTTTGGATTTGTATCACTAAGAACGTAAGTGATGTTTGCAATATGTATTAAAGATGTATTGTGCATATATTATAAGTGTGTTACCTAAATTGTTTTAGTTGATATCATTAAAAAGGGAGTGAAATTTGCAATATGTATTATAAATGTAGGATGTATTGTTCATGAATCTTATACAATTTTAATACAATTATGAAACATATCTAATACAACTTTAATACAAACCCGATATAGTTTCATAAACTTCATCCTTTTCGTGCTTCAATCTAGTATTTCTCCTAAAATCAATTCTAAACTTAATCAAACCCTCTTAAAATTGAGATATAAACTCCAAAAGATATTTTCAATTATTTGTAGGAACAACCTATCCAAACTAATCGCAAACGAAAGAGCAGACAAGTAATCTAATCATAACAAATGAAGAAACATAATAAACTGCCAAATGAATTAAAGTTGAATTAAAAATGTATTACACACATATTAAAGTTGAATTAGAAGCGAATTAAACATGAATGCAAAATGTAGCAAACTAAAGAGCATTATGTGATTTGTAAACTAAATAAAACTTGTATCAATAATGAAATAATCAAGTAATTCAATCGTAACAAATCAACCAATAAACTGCAAAATGAATTAACTTGTATTAAAAGTGTATTACACAAATATTAAAATTGAATTAGAATAGAGAATTAAGCACGAATAAAAAATGTAACTAATGAAAAAGCAGCCAATGATTTACAAAGTGAATTAAAGTTATATAAAAAATGAATTAAACAAGTAATCTAATAGTAACAAATAATAAACTACAAAATGAATTAAATTTGCATTAAAAGTGTATACACAATATTAAAGTTGAATTAGAAGAGAAAATTAAGAATAAATGAAAAACGTATCTAACGAAAGACAAGACAATAATCTATAGATTGAATTAAACTTGTATTATTCATGAATAAAACATGTATTATGTGTTATAAATTATTTTGGTTTGTATCACTAAGAACATGAGTGATGTTTGCAATATATTAAAAATGTAGTGTGCAATGTATTATTAAGTGTGTTACCTAAATCATTTGGTTGGTATCACTAAGAAGAGAGTAAAGTTTGCAATATGTATTATAAATATACTGTTCATGATTTTAATACAATTATAAAACGTATCTAATTCAACTTTAATACAATTGCGATATAGTTCCATAAACTTTACCTTTTTTGAGTTTCAATCTTATATGTCTCCTAAAATCAATTATAAACTTAACTGAACCCTCTTAAAATTGAGATATAAACTTTAAACTGCATTTTCAATTATTTGTAGGATCAACCTATCCAAACTAATCACGAGTTCGTAAGATTCATAAAATAAATTCAAAATTTGAAGTTTTATAGTGACCATCAATGGTGAATTCTTGTTATTGTAATTTTAGAGATTTGAAATTTTTGTTTGAGAATATGATATTGTAAAAAAAATAATATTTTTTTATTTCTCTTCTCGTCGTGTTTTTGGATAAAAATAGTGAAATATGGATAAAAATTGATTTGAGAATAATTATTTAAATGAAATTTTTAAAAGAAGAAGAAGAAGAATAAAAAGAAGAGGAAGAAGAGAGAGAACAACACAGAAAGAGACGAAAAGAAGAAAAATAAAAAGAAGATGAGGAAGAGAAAAGGACAGAGAAAGAGGCGAAGCGGTACAATTTTTTAATCCAAAAAATTGTTATATTAAGTTAGAAAAATTATATTGCCATTGATGGTAAATATTTTCTTAATATATCATGTTTATGTGATTTGCCCTTTTTTCTTTTTTAGTTGTCTATCCCTAATTACTTGTTTATTTTGACAGATCAAGAAAGGACAATTTTTTTTACCTATTTTATCCTTAATTAATTACTTTGAAAAAGGTAGAACTTCTTGAAAATTTTTAATTTTTAATTCATTCACTTCATAATTAATAGGGGTAAAATGATAAAATCACTATATCAATCATTATTTTCTTAATAAGTGTGTCAATTCAAAAATGAACACGTAATTATTTTCTTAATAAATGTGTCAATTCAAAAATGAACACGTAATTAGGAACAGATGATACTAATATACTTTTTCCCAAATATTAAGGACAAAAATGCAAGATTTGTACTATATTCCATTGGGCTTTTGTTTGGGAAATGACTCAATTATTCTAAAAACATTGTGCAAATAAAGTAGCTATCCATAGAAGACAGACTCAGCCAACATATATGGACCGTGAACAAACTCCGAACGCGCCACTTCTTCCGCCGCCGATGCGGCCAACGGTACATCAGGATGACGCAGACGAAGAAGACGAAACTGTGAAGCAGCTCAACGAGTGCTCTTCTGTCTACTTATCATTACAGGTATCTTATTAAATTCTTAAACCCTAAACCCCAAATTGGAACTGATCACAAGTTTATATATGCAGGATTGTCTGATCAATTCTGACCGGAATTGGAAATCTTGTCAAAAAGGTATCTTCTATTTTGCTTCAGATTTTGTTATTTTTATTGCCAAATGGGCATTTCTTTAATGAATATGAATTTAGTATTCATATAGAAAGAGGGAAAAGAAATGTTATCATTCCAATTGGAAATCAAAATTAGCTATTTGGATCTATATGCCCTATATAGTGCCCCTCTGCTTTAGGAATCCGAATTATATAGTGCGATCAACTGAGCACGATTAGCTGACTAGATCAATATGAAAATAAGTCATTATGATATTTTTTGTTTGAATAATGAAGGGAGATGAACAATGAAGATTAGTGGTACAGCCGATCCAACTTGCTTGATATTGAAGTATAGTAGGAGTTATTGTTGTATGAAGCTATATTTTAGTATAGTACATATAGCTGATGGATTTAAACATAGTATACCGGGATCTCTAGTCAGAATCACATGTGCAAGTTTTCAGCCGGCAAGTGATGCAGCATGAGTGTTAAAATATCAGTTTTATTAACACGGACAGAAAATGAAAAAGAATGCTACGATACAGCTCAATTGTTTACTGCTTTTTAGTTTATTCCAAAAACTACTTGGTGCTTGCAGAAGTTCAGGCTCTCAAGGCGTGTAATGATAGAAGACAGAAAGACAAGAGGAGTTGAGAAGCGTTTTGTTCTTCATCGTTGAGGCAGTTTTCTGAAGTTGGAGTCTTACAGTTACTTTTTCTGCTGATTTTTTCCCCAATGGGGGCTAAGAAAGATACACAATGATGACTGACTATTGACTGTTGCTGGAATTAATAAACTGATTAAAACATGGCTATTTCTTTGTGAGTTCTCTCTAATTATTTCGCTTTTTTTCCTTGACAAAATCAACCATTGACTTCGTCCTTTGTGTTTTTCCCTTGTTCTCTTGCTATCAATCGATTTTTTTTTTGGTCAGAAAGAAGTAAATAGCATATATAACAAAAAGTTTACAGGGTCCTAAGTTGTGGCTGTGCCACTGCAGAAACAACCGAACTAGCAGATGATGTATGTACAACTTGCCTAGCCGAACGAGTATTAAACATAGACCTACTGGAGAGGGATGTAGCCTGCACTTTTCTACTATACAACTCCCCATTCTTGTCAACCCGCAAAATATCCGTCAAGGATGCTGGAGAGTTCCAAAACAGCATAGTGTTATTATCCACAAAAGTAGTGGTTGTGGCGACAGCAGCTAAAGCATCAGGTAGTTTGTTTTGTTCCCTGTAAACGCGACTAACTCTTGGATCACCCATCCTGTCCTGCAATCAATTAACAAAGGAGAGTCATGAAATAGTGGTGAGTTTAGTAGGTGCACCAACTGTAGTGAGTCAATGTTTATTTCCAGATGCATATCATCCCATATTGCAGAGCTAAAGTGAGTCGTAGCAACAGAGCTCGCATTTCCATCTCAAGAGGCTGAGAAGTAGGACAAGTCCCTGTAAATCCAAGTATCCAATCTCCGACACTATTTCTAAAAACACCTCCTAAGGTAGATAAGCCTGAAACTGAATCACAACCACTATCCGTAATAAGCATAATGTTAGAATTAGCATGCGGGTTCCACTTGACATACCTACATGTGCACAAAAAAACTAGACAACCAAATTGGAGTTTCCAACTGAGGAGAAGTACCCCAAAGAAGCAATTTGTGGAGTGATTCCTAACTCGGACCATAATGGCGCTAATTTAGGACATAAGAGGAACAGGTGAACACATGTCTCCTCTTCTCGTAAATCACAAAGCATACAAAGAAGGGATTGGAGAATATTGATGCTATGGAGAAAGCAAGACGTCGGCAACCTTCCATGATTGAGAAGCCATAAAAACTGCTTTAGCTTAGGTGGGAGGTGCATTTTCCAGATCCAAGAAAAGTCGATATTGTCAGTCAAATTCATTCGCAACTCTAAGTTAGTTAACTTCCTAAGTGCTGCGAAGCAAGACTCAACTGAGAAGGCGCCTGTCTCCATCAATCCCCAAGAAATGTGATCAACTGTATGTGCAAATTGGGGAAAATAAACAGAGTCCATTGATGCCATGATGTTATGGGGTAGTTCAAAGGATAGATAATTAAGAGTCCAGTTGCAAATGTGTAGTATATTAGCTACCGTCAAGGTGGTTTCTCGCTCCATGAGAGGACCCTCAATAAGCATCCGCAGACTGACACCTGGGGTAAATCAAGGATCATGAAAGAGGTTGATACGATCTCCTCTAGAGGGTCGTCATAGCAACCTATGCCTACAGTAGGACTAACCAAGCTTTAGCGATTTCCAGGTACGAGAAGCAGTAGTAAGCCTAGTAGAGCGGGCTAAAAATTTGTTGCAGAGTACCTTTAGCCCAAAGGGAGTCTGGTGATTGGAAAAGTCTCCAGGCAGTTGACGTAAGAGCTTTATTTTTAGTGCGCAAATCTTGAATACCTAGTCCACCACTATCTTTTGGTTGAGTAATACGAGACCATTTTAGAAGATGAAGCTTTTTATGAGTTGGGGTAGTTCCCCAGTAAAGCTACGCTCACAACGTTCCATCTTATCAATGATATGATCTGGGACTTTGATAAGCTACATTACGTGGTTGGGAAGACTATTAAGAGTAGATCGGATAAGAGTTGCTCTTCCCGCAGCAGAATGCAAGTTAACTTTCCAGCCCGCCAAACGGAACTTTAAGTTCTCGAGTAAGAATTGAAGGTCATTCCGTTCCAACTTGTTAATACAGATAGGGTACCCTAAATATTTCCCAAAACTTCTTCCGTCTGTCATATTGAAAAAGGAAAGAGCTAGCAATTTATTAGGAGTTGCAATATTTGAGGAGAGAATTTTTTTTGACTTGGAATAATTGATCCGCTGTCCTGAGATAGAGCTAAAGTGAGATAGAATATTGACATCATTCTCATCTCCTGCCACAAACAGGAGATGAGAAATTTGGGGTCCTCTTGGGGACATGTTGACAAGGGACAAAAGAAGATAGTCCAATCAATGCCTAGTCAATTCTTCAGGACAACCTTTCCATGCAAAGGATGAAAATATATGGTGATAGAGGATTGCCATTGATCAGGATTGAAACAGAACAAGTCGTTATGCAAGACATTATGAGTCGAACCAAAGTTGCTGGAAAGTTGAAGTAGAGGAGTGTGTCATGAATGAAAGACCATCCTAGCCAGTCAAAAGCCTTCTCCAGATTGATCTTGAGCATCATGAAATTCTTCCTACCCTTCGTTCTTTTGAAAAAATGAAGCAGTTCCTGGACCACTGAAGCATTATCAGCACAGCCCTTCAACCGGTCAAAAAGCTAGATTGTGTGGGTTCTATGAGGGTAGGTAGAAGGGGCATAATACGGTTTACCAAAATCTTTGTGATGATTTTGTATACCGTAGGCTGATGGGCCTATACTGTCCTATTGACACCGCAGAGGTGCATTTTGGAATAAGGCAGATATAGGTTGTGTATATAGACTTTGAATAACCACATACATATCAATAAATCAACAATACTTCAGTCTTGAAATAGTTTAAATCAGTTATCTGAATCTCTATTATTCATTCAAGACTAAATTTGAACAAACATAAACATGTTCACAAAGATTTGCTTCAGCATTTAATTTGTGTTGCTTACTATGCCAAAAATATTCATGGCTTCCTTACAACATAATGGCTATTGAAATTGAAATCATTTGCCAAGTCTTAAGGTAGGTGAAAATGACAGCATTACAAATAAAGGAGTTTCAGAGTAAAACAGATCAGGTATTCGCAGGGATAAACTTGACAGAAACGCTGTTCACACAGTGGCGTTCATCTGTGGGTGTCTTGTGACCTTCTCCTTTGAAAACATGACCAAGATGTCCACCACAGGCAGCACATGTAATCTCCGTCCTCCTTCCATCTGGATCTGGCTGTAAGTACAAACAATAGCGGAGTTAGAATTTTCACCACTTATACACGGAAGAGTTTAATCTTTATACTTACAGAGCGATTTATCGTCCCTGGGAGACCCTCAAAGAAAGCAGGCCAACCACAGCCAGAGTCAAATTTGGTTGAGGATTTATACAATGGAGTTCCACAACCAGCACAATTATACATCCCTTCATCAAAAAACTTGTCATATTCACCAGTTCCCTTCAGCCTGTAAAATACTAATTTTTCAGCATATAATATATACTCATCAATCAAATACTTTTTTGCTTACTTATCGAATCCCCGAAAAAAGAAAGATCAGAGAAAAAAGAAATTACTCAGTTCCTTTCTGACGGAGGATCCGAAACTGCTCAGGAGATAGAACAGCACGCCATTCTTCCTCAGATTTCTCAACTGCCATTGTTAACTCAAAATACAAATGTAAAGAACTCCTATTATGTGCCTAATTATATAATTTATTGAAACAAATGAATGTGGACGGAAAAATAGACTTAAGGGATATTGATTTGCTCGAAATCTATTGAGATTCGGAATGTCATTTATGAACTTGTCAGATTTGAAATCAGATTAATTCGAAACTAAAGTTTTGTTTGGATGTGTGATTTGAATTTTTTTTAATTTTTTTCCGTAAACATGAAAATCACAGAAGTTATAAGTATTGTTTTAATTTTTTTCCAATTTTATATAACCTTACCAAATGAGGAAAGCATTGTTCTTAAACAAAATATCACCGCATTGATAAATTGAATATCACCATGTTTTATAATAAAATTTCACATAATTTTATTAAAATCTACTTATAAACAATAGTATTTGACGTTGTACAAACAATTTCTTCACTCTAAACATGAACGTGAATTTCTTCTCTTTTTAAAAAAAATATGACCTGCTTGCCTTTAACCTCTTTTCACAATTTTGTATTGAAGTTATAAAATTGGGCAAATCACATAAATCCCACTAGTTTAGGTCTTAATTATTAAGATTCTCAATAGTTTCAAATATTACTTCCTCTACCATATTTTATGATTAGGATACATGAGTCTGAATCCATGAGATACATGTATCTGTCGAATTTTAAAATTGAGATACAAAATTTATTTATTTAAATTAATTGGTTGTAACTTATTTCCTTAATTAGAGGAGTAATTGAGGATTTTCAAAATACATAGATAATTAATTTCATTTTATTATTCTTTGAAACAGTAAATTCATTAATATTATTAATATAAGATAAAAACATGTATACCTTGGTAATGTAATTTGATTAATTTCAAATTATTACTCTTAAAATAATAAATTCATTAATTTGATGTATCTATTATCAATATATGATGTATCCAACAAACTAAATATTTAGATACATGAGTGCCATACAAGTACATTCATATGTATCATAGAAGTATTTTGCATTAATTTCATGTATTTGTTATATGTATCAAGTATCAATTGCATATGTTATATCCAAAAACATGTATCTCGAATAAATAGTAAACATATACATCTAATTATGCGTATCTAAATATGGAATATATAAAAAGAAGAAGCATATACATCTAATTATGTGTATCTAAATTTCATACGTTATATCCAAAAACATGTATCTCGAATACATAATAAGCATATACATTTAATTATGTGTATCTAAATATGAAATGTAGTTGAAACACATGAATCTATGAACAAATCACGACTGTAGAGTATCTGTCGTATCATTAATATCATTGTGTTGTTAAAAATCATGTATCCGAAATTTAATATATAGTGGATATATATATACATGTTCAGATACCCCATTACTAAAAATACAACTCAGATCTGAATTAAGATTACTACTTATTGGATACACATGTTTCAAGGACTATATCAAAGTAATATTGGTACTACCACATCCATATCACAGTAACCAAAGAAAGTCTTAGAAGAACACCAGCAAACAAAAACTCTCTACAATATTCCCTTTGATTCTTTTGCACTGTGGAATAACATAATCAAAACTAAGATTCATTTCTTTCGGAGACAAACAATCAAGACCCACTATGAATTGAAAGTTTTCTCTGTAGCAGTTACTGTGATTGGAACTCATGATAAATGAACAATACAAAATGATATTTGGGTTCACGAGAATTTGTGGTGATGATATCTTGAGAAGAAGAGAGTAGATTAACTATTGTTGAAATGAAATTGTAAGGTGAAATTCTTGAATCAGAAAGGAGGAGACATAATTGAGTGATAAACATGGGAGGGGAGAATTAAGAGATAGTGGTTGATTTGGAGTGAAAGAGTTATTTAAGCAGATAATTAATCAATAATAGTTTTAAGGGATGTGGGTATCTAATAATATTTTCAAATAATATATTAATATATGGTATAAAATACTAAAAGTGATAATATATGTAATTGTTTAAAAGTAAAGATAATATTAGTATATATAGTAGTGATGTATGTCTAATAAGGTAGTTTATTTTTTTCAAATGGACGGTAAACCCGATACAATTATTGAGTCATCAAACATTTGGGTCATAAAGTGAAATTATTTATTTGGAAAATGATCAGATCTGCCCATTTGCTCTTAAATAAATGTTATATTTGCATTTTATTATACTTATTTTTGATATATTTATCCTTGTCCTCCCTCTTTCACACCTCATTTTCACTCCCGCCTCTATAATCCTCATCACCTCATGCCTACCACCAGTGTAGCCATCCTTATGTCGAGGTGTCCAATTAGACACCTTTCATTCGAAAATTATACCATAAATACAAGTAAAACAATAAATAAAGTGGCTAAATAACATATTTTGAATACCCTTGACACAACAATATAATGAAATCTAGTGGTTTCAGATGCCTTGAAAGAGTAAAGACACGCGAACTTAAAGTGTTTGTGTATAACAATTTTTTTTCACTTTTTAAGAAGAGCGGGTTCACTTTAACACTTGGACACCCTTCATGAAATTTCTAGCTCCGCCACTGCCTACCACCCCACCCCTACCACCTTCCATCGTTTTTATCTGATCATGTACAAATACTTTTAAGATAATATATTTTACTTACATATCGAACAGAAGAAAAAAGAGTAAGAAACCCACTTATTTTTTCTCGAAAACTTTCTCCTTCATATCGAACACATCCTTAAAATATAGTTCTCTAGCAATAGGAAAACTTTATAGGAATGTACAATGTAAATAACAAATAACGCATGCACACAAGAAGATCAAATTTTCCCGACTCTTTTCTTCATTTCACCTAAATAAAAAAGAATATTCACGTTTTTTTGTTCTTGTGAAATATTTTATTGATTATTATTTTTAAAATTCAGTGACGTGTTTCTTTACTACGCAAAGCACGATCGAGTTAACTAGTGATGCTAAAATCACTATGGTTCTCTAAGAAAACAAATTAAATCTACCACTCCTTAGGCGAGGTGAGAATATAGGGTGTGGGGCTTTGATGATTTACTTTCAAGCTCTCGCCTTCAGCCCAAGAGAAAAAAGGTCAAGCCAAGCCCTAATTCACCTAAATGGAATGTACAAAAATTCAGGTGATGAGAAGTATTACCGACAACATCACTGAAGAAGTGGTGTTGAATGAGATTTATGAGATCATTCGACTGCCAATGTATGCGGATAGGATACAGAGTGATAGCAAAGCTCATGTACGACGCAGATGAATGAATTGGTGCTTAGCTGTGTTCATGACATGTAGATCAATAGAAGAATATTTACGAGCAGCCTTAGTCCCTAGGCATGTTTTGTGTACTATACTGGGTTTGTTGTATGAATCCAGTTGGCACACTGTAAACTTAGTGGTCCATGACTTTGTGTTTTTTCGTCATTAGCGACAAGGTTGTCTTGTATATTAGTTGTTTTAGTTCACTTCTTTTTTCCTGGTTACTGGTAAGTTGTCTGAGGTAGGTTTTACTCCAGTAGTAGTTTAAAACTTCAAGCTCTATGTTATCTATTCCCTTGTGAATATAAGTTTGATCTACTAGTAATTTCTAGTTAAAAAAAAAAAAAAAAAAAAAAACCTAAATGGAATTCATATCTCCTTTGTCTGATCGAAAAGGGAGGTGAACCATACTCTAGTACTTATTCTATCACATTTGGATTACGTTACAGAGAAATCTATTCTCATCATGACAAATCCATGTCCTAGTTCATAGCTTAAAAAGGGACTTAGAAGTCGTCACGAAATTGTTTACCTGCAAAAAGGCAATAAGGAATCTTATTTTTCCTAGAACACAGCATAAGGACTCATATTAAAAAGGTAGAAAGACCACACAAGTGATCTGCCTAATCCCTTGCACGGCGAATCACTACACTGTGACCATTCTATATACAAATTTAACCAATTTTCATGCGTGGTATACTTGTTTGATACTTCATACAACAATAAGTTCTTCCGCAGCCAAGTCGAAATGATGTGATAGAATTATTGTCATTCTAAAACTGACAAGTTTAGATAGAATACAGTACAAAGTTTGCTCTTTTTTGTTGCAAGAAGATGCAACTATTGACTAACCCATGTACATGTGCATTAGTGTTAAGCTTTTTGACAGAAGCAACGCAGAAGTCTCCAGAACAACTCGGGTAAACTTGATTGATGTGCTATGCATGAGAACGTAAAGTGTGAAGTAACTGAAGTGAGTAGTGTAACCAGTTGAAGTCAGAGGGCAATAGATCCATAAACTGCTAGATTCTTTTACAAGGAAAGGACATAGGTTCACCTACTAAATGAATGCTGCTCAGGTCCTGCTATCTGTCATATTCAATGTGTAGAAGGGTATAATAAACCGCTATCAGTTTGTGCATCTACTTATGCATCGCTTGCTACGTACGTTTATAATCATCAATGACTAAGGAATGAAGGAAGTTACCGTTTCAGGCACATCTAAAATATGTGGAAATGCGTGGAAACCCTTGGAAGTCTTTTCTTTGTTCAATCCCTACAAGAGAAGTAGGAGCAAGCGGTCACTTGTAGAACAATATACAGATAAAGAAAAAGAGTAAAATTGGGAAAGAGTGAAACTCACAAGCTAGATGAAACTACTACTCTGGAGCTCTGGTCTGATGACGAAACAGTTTGACAACAGCTCACTTCAGACAACTCACTCCTTACTGACCGATAACCTTCCGAAGCAGATGGAGTGAAATATATCTCCGATGTTTCTTTCTTTGTGTTTGTTGTTCTTCCTCCATTTCTTTTGGCTGTGGCACCACCACCTGACTATCCCAACTTCAGAGTATATTAGCTAATCCAAAAGTAAACAGAAACATGAAGCAATCTTGAATCGTGGAATACCAAAGACAAGAAATTGCAGGCATGAATTTGGTAACTATGTTGCTTTGATCCTATTTTAAATAAGTCAATAGACAAAATCCATAATGAAGAAAGAACTTAGTCCAGTAATGTTAGCAACAGATGCTCCTAGAGTCCATCGATCAAATTGTTAGTACTTATTTCTAACCATAGGAACAATAATGATTAACACAACGAAAGCAAAGTAGAAATATGTGAATTTATATATATCCAGAGAATTAGAAAAGAAACAACAAAATCAACAAATAAGAATCAAATGGTTCATACATTGGATAAGGCTTTAATATGTACAATGATGATTGTTATATCATCTGTCCGATTTTCATGATCTAGCCACAGTTTGTAAGATTCTCCAGCAATGGCTGAACTTGCATCCCTAGGATCTGCGGATCTATTTACCTACACAAGAAGAAAATAGGAAACAAGGCAGAAAATGTTAACAATGACTGAAACAAATGGTGGCTGAGATCAAGTAAAAAAGAATTTGCTCATTTACTTGAAGATAGATCACATTGATTTTAACTAATGTCACAAAAACATGATCCAGCTTTTCTATTTAACTTCTTTTTCGGCATTGTTCGAATAATTTGTTGGCATAACTACCACTAATCACCAATATACAAAGTGCCACCAGTGTTGTCAAAGCATTGGGTGTGTTGAAAAAAAGGATCAAGGGTCTGCAGTGGCTTTAAGCCCATAGCACAATTAATGCATGAACTTTAGAAACTTTAGCTAAGGAACAAATTATATACAGACATGCAGCAACACTGACACATAATGTACGAAAAGTACCTATTCAGACAAACTACACGGACAGAAAAATTGTCAATAAATTGAAATATATGAAGTCAAAATCGTGTCGATCAAGTACAGAAACCATTTTATATTTTACACATTCATATGTAAATAGTACAATTTTAGTTTTTAATTTTAGCTTTCACTGTTTTTTAATCAAGAGATTTAGCTAGTTTTCTTATTACTGATTTTTTATTACCTAACTTTAATTATTAACATATTCACTCAGAATGTTATTTAGTTCTGCTCTTTAGAAACAGTGCCTATGAGGAAGTTGCACACGTCATATCACCTTTGTGCTTGCATTAGAATATTGCATGATCCAGAGAAAAAAAAAAACAGCTTCCAATGCACTAGTTTCAAATGCACCTCAAGCGAGCCTTTAAAAATACTAAATGCCACATTAGTTAGAAAAGGACGAGATGATCCCCCAGGAAAAGAACATATAAAATATCTACAGAGGAAGACGATAAAAAAGACAGAAAGAAGAGGAAGGAAAAGAAGGGCAAATATTCATATGTAGTTATCTATTCAAGAACTTCCTCCTACCACCAAGGGATACAATGGAATGTATGGGATGCCTCCACCCTTAACCAAAGGCCGCGAGTTCGACCTCTAGAAATGGAGAAATTTCTAATGGGCCCTACGAGGCGTGAATCCGGATTTGTCGGCCATTCAGTACTGATTACCGGATGGTTAAACCAAAAAAAAAGTCCTGTTTATGATTAGATAACAGGCTCCGCATTGAAATGATATTTAAATAAAACTACATGTTTAAATGCAGACAATTAATCTGATGTTGCTTTGCCAGTTTAGACAGACAATTGATATATCTAGGCTTCATTGTTCAAAGAGGTTAATTAAATAATAGATGAAAATGGAACACATACAGGTGTGCTATGTGATAGGAAGATACCTATTAAAGTCAAAGAACAATTGAATAAATGAGACCACTAATGTTATAGTGGAGATATCCACAAAAAGTGTTCGTATGCAGATATTAAGTAGGTGTACAACAAAATTAAAAATTAAAATGATAGAAGATACAAATAGCAGCCATAGAGGACAAAATGCGAGGAGACCGCCTAAGATTGTTTGACCATGCTACATAGACCTCCAACTACACCCAGTTTATAGGTGCAACATAACGATGATTCAAGGTGTAGGCCTAAAATCACATGAAAATTTTATTTCAGAAGACTGATAACCCCTTGAATTCAACCGAAGTTAACAAAGAATAAAACCAAATGGAAGTAAAAAGTCCATGGAGGCCATACCAACTGGTTGAGATCAAAACTTAGTCGAGATCCTGACTTTTGCCAGGAATATAGTGTTTTCAGATTTGTATCTCAATGTAGGGATAAGTGCAAGATGTAAATAATCTCCTGCTTCTTAGTACCGTAATTAATGTCTTAAAGGACAAACTCTCAAATATTTGCATAAAACTGGGCCAAATTATAATGGGATGGATGAGGATTCATATCACTTGGGCCAACTAGTTTAAGGTTGAGGTGCAGTAATAGTAGTTTCTATGTTTTCTCATTAGATACTAACTTTAACTTGTCTTTAGACTTCAGCTTAACTAAATGGAGTTACCAACAACTCAGTAGATTATAATGGGCTTACCCCGTACACAAAATGCTCCCCGACTAGTGGGGTAAAGGTAGAATGTGTATACAGTATGTAGCCTTATCCTCACATTTTCACAAAGAGGCTGCTTTAAAACCTTGAACAGTGACCTAAAAATTATTATTTTTTAATCATGAATTTGTGACCTATCAATGTGCCAAGTTCGCCCTCAACTAGTCAAGAAAATGCTACTTAACATTCCAACAGTAAACCCATATGCTGAATTCACTTTTAGTATCATCAGAGTTGAGAGCATAAAAAGGCCATGATACAAAGGCCATTCCTTGACAGTCGATCCAAACAAAGAAGATATGCCAGAAAAAGTATACTAATTCCAATTACAGAGCAAGAGGGTGTTTGGATTTGCTTATTTCAAGTAACTTTTGGCTTTTAAGCTTTTTTTAAAAAAAAATTTGGAGGTGTTTGGGAATGACAAAAGTGCTTTTAAGCACATACTTTTAGGCCAAAAAAAGTACAACAATAAGCTAAAAGCCAAAAGTTGGGTATGACCAACTTATGGCTTTTAGCTTATAAGCTATGACTATTCTTAGATAATGTTCAGAGACTTAGTTTAGATAGCAATACTAAGGAATCACTACTTCATGTCCCAAAAAAAAACTCCATAGTGTCACCAAAATGATTTATCAGAGACAAAGTTCAGAATATAATGTGTTATCCTTCCACTTTGACTTTTAATGGCTACCTAAAGTATGACATTCCTCTCTTTGACATATTCTTCCTTGTTATCTATTTACATTTCTTTTCCATTGGATCCATTATCCAGACTCAATGCAATTTTATGCCAAGCATCTTATTTGGGACCTCTCAAAGGCAAAGAATTTAGAAGAATCTAGGCTTAATGTAGCAGTCTCCAATAGGGAAGATATCATCAAGATTTACTTCAATATTTAATACATACACATATACTGACACAGTAACACAAATAGAAATAGACAACATAGCATAATGGATTGACATGAATAATGTCCAATATCTTGCTGTAACAGAGCATGTTATACATAAATTCTGATATCAAAACTGCAGAGAGACACACACCTCCAGTGACATTTGGCATAATACATAAATATGCCATTTAACTTGGTCTCAGCTCACCTTTATGCTCTCCAACTTTGGGTGAGCACAAGTAGACACTTAAACTTGTATAAAGTTGAACAAATAGACATACACGTCCTATGTGGCATCCTACATGGCAATTTGCATCATATGTGGTGTCCAAAGTTGGAGGGCATAAATGTGAAATGGAGCCAAGTTAAAGGGCACACTTATGTATTATGCCGATTGCTAATAATGCAGATGTGCTAAGCAAAAAACAATGAAGATGAACAAAAACAAGAATAAATAAATTTCTATACATTTTAGCATCAAATAAAGTAACCCTTACCATGTCCACCACAGTTTGGCTGGAGAGGAACTCAAAGACGCCATCACTTGCAACTACAAAGAAAGGATGATGAGCTGTAAGATGTACTGTTGTCACCTCTGGAACCGCAACCACACCAATGCTTTCAGCTGTACTATCTCCAACACTCCGCGTAAAAGCAGTCCCCGGATACATCCCATTTTGAACCCACAATCTAGGTGGATCACCTCCTTCTGTTTCCTCATCCCCCCATGATTGAATATCAGGATCCTTTAGACCTTCCACTTGATCAACACTAAGAACTCTTGCCCCACAGCTTTTCACTCTCTCACATTCATCTTTCCTAAATGGTGTCTGATCAGAAGACAAATCTTTGGCAACAACTCTATTTCCTTCTTTAACAGCCATCACTGCTCTTGAATCACCTACATTAGCCACATACAACATGTCTCCAACAAGAAGAGCAGTTATAGCAGTTGTCCCACTCATGGAATCATCAATATCACTATCATGAAGTTCTTCATTTGTTATTGAAAATGCAGAATTGTAAGCCTTAACAGGGTCATCCAACAATGTAGAATCATTTGATAAAATTTCAACAAGCCTATCCCTAACAAACACAGAACATTCAGTACCAAACTGTCCATGCCCGTCAAACACCCCAAAGAAATGAACATTTGGATTACCCTGAAGCTGTGTTCTGATACAATAACTATCCTGATTTTCTTTCTCAGGTGATTCAGGATAAAACCCGCGTTGCGTAAGCACCGAATACTCTAACCTGAAGTTATGGGAAGGAACTTGAGCACTTTCAACAGACCTTCCAGCAAGAATATGAGTTTGAACCTGAGCATATCTACCCAAATCTTCCCTATTATCACCATCTGAAGATCTTGGATATCTACAACAACACTTCCCATGAACACACCCCATATCTCAATCCAAACAAAGTTGCACACCAATTATTTGTAAAAATTACTCAACCAGGTCTAAAAACTTGATAAAACCAAATCTGCATAACCCATTTATTACAGCATTGTTTTTCCCAAAATGGGGTTTTTTTTATTCAAACCCGTGAGACATAAAAGCCAACAAGAAAAAACAAACCCTAATACCAAGACACCCAAACAAGGATTTTGGTCTAGGAATAGAATTTGGGGGTGTCAGAAAAAAAAAAATGATTAAAAAACTTATAAAGAAACCAAGATTGGAACAACCCCAAAACCCAATGAAGAAGAAAAGATAAAAAGAAAGATTGCAATACAAGAAGGGAACCACAAAAGAAGAAGCAAAAGCAAAGAAAACTTTAAGGGGTGATCAAAGAATGACTTTTTATGTAAAAGAAAGATTAAAAGATAGAAGAAGAAGGTGTGTTGTTTGTGTTTGTGGGGTCTGTGAAGAAGAAAAATCAAACATAATTCCAAAAAAAGAACAGTTCTTGATAGAAAAAAGATGTAATTTAGGGGAATAATCAAATTGAAAATGAAGATAACCCAGAAAAAGATGTGAGAATAAAATGGTTGATTATAATAGAGATTGGCGTTTGGGGTTATAGTATGTGGGGTTGTGCATTATGTCTCTTTTACCTTTCAAGAAATGACATGCAAAACACTGAAATGCGAGCATGCGACACCAGATTGAGACATACAAATGTCACCAAATCCCACTATAATAATACCACTTCCCTTTTTTCATTTTTTTTTTCATATTCCTAAATATTTTTATTTTTTTTTAAAAAAAAAGCCACACACACACTGTAATTCTATAAGGGGTAATTTGATAAAGTGTATTTGAAAAAATAATGCATATATTAATTTTATGTATTATTAGTAGGTGTTTGGCCATTAGATTAAATTAGCGTGAAATTGCATGTCCAAACGCATATCATGAGAGGAAATCCAAGATTTGAAATTTCAAATCATGATATGTTGTTTGATACAGTTTTCCAACCTTGCATTAGTTATACACATCGGGGTTGTTTTGTAGAGTATATTAGAAAAAATAATGAATGCATTATCTTTGTATATTACTAGTAGTCTAGTACTTTGTTTGGTAGTCTTTTCCAACCTATGTATAACTAATGTTTATACACTCTATTGTATATTAAGGTGTGTATTACTAATACCATTGATTTCTACGTATTAGTACAAATGCAATAGGTTTAATGCATGCATTAGTATGATTAAAGACTCAATTGCCACTCAATATTATTTTTTTTACATCTTTTTCATCATAATTGTGGAGGATTAAGGTAAATAAATTTTTTTATGCAATACATGTTATTTTGTATTGCACCAAATCAAACAATGCATAAAATAATTTGTGTATAATTAATGCAAGCATTACTAATACATTTTAGCATTATTCTTATACAGTCTACCAAACAACCCCTTCATTTGATATTAATGTGTACATAAAATCGATTGTATTAGTAGTACAAAGGATTTTAATGCATGTTTTAGCATGATTAAAGATACAATTATCCCTCAAAATCTTTTTGCATCCTTTGCATCATATTTGTTGAGGGTATTTTTATAAATAAATTATTATTTTTATAGAAATTATGCAATGCGTGTTATTTTAATACACCAAATCAAACACTGCATAAAAAATAATTTTAGCAAAACTAATACAAGTATAACAAATACCAACATTACTAATATATCATATTTAGCAATAATTTTATATACTCTATTAAACGACCCTTGAGTGAAATTTGAAAAGAGTAGCGCGTACACAACCTTATTTATTTCTGACTATCTGATTGAGGGTGTCAAAAGTACTTTTCTTATAATCGATCGAACCAAATTGAATCAAACCTAATTGAATCAAATATTAGGTATTTTAAGGTAAATTTATAGATTTCATTTATATTTCTTTTTTGGTAAGTAAAGTTATTTTATTATCAAAGTAAATTTTGAAGAACATATTTAAAAATACTAAGAGTTAAACATATTGCCCCAGATCTTTAGTATATTGCATTAGTACTTACGATATGTAAAACTACTAGCAAACTAGACTTACATTCTCATATATAGCAAAGTCAGGAATTGAATTGATCCTCATAGGTCAGATAATCAATCAATTAAGTTATTAAATTTTTTCCATCCTCAATTTTCATACCTAACCTTTGTAAATATTTAAAGGTCCATAGTGTAGATACTTGTTTAGGGAAAAATACATAAGTTAGAATAAACTTGGCACAAAAAATATCTCGTACCTAAACTTTTATGAGCAATGATTTAGTACTCCTAATCTTGTTGGAATAAGGTTAAAAAAAAAAAACCACTCACAATCTCACATCACATCTATTATTTACATCAATCTAATATTTATATGATATAATTGTTGTTATTAAATCATAACTAATTAATACATATTTCAATTTTAATTTTAATTTATCATTCAGCAATAAATTATTATAATTTTAGTAATACAAATATAGAGAACAAATAAATTTTAACCGCAAAATTAATATCACTAATAACTTACTCTTATAGAAATATTATAAGCTTGGGAAAACTATGTCTAATTCTGTCAAAAGGCAATTTTACTTGATGGGAATAACTTGCATGTGAGAATAAGAAAAGTTAGATATTATTCTCTTCCATTCAAATAAGTGAATTTAGCATTTTCTTTTTATCTAAAATAAATGAATTTTCAAAGCCCCCAAAATATTACTCCTCCGTCTCATATTAGTTGATCATTTTTATCTTTACACGCTTATTAAGAAATTATAAATAAGAAGATATTTTTACTAATTCATCCTTTAAAAAACTTATTGAGAATTTTACAAACAAATGTGAACAATTTCAAATTTACTCTTCTCTCTAATAAATTTTGTAAGGAAAAAAAATTCATAAATACACATCTTATTTTACTATAATTTCTAAAATTCCCTATCATTTAAAATAATTACAAAAATTCTCTCTCGGATACATTCCTCCACTCTCGAATACATTCTATTCTCTATCGGATACATCTCTCCCCTTTCGGATACATCTCTATCCCCTCTTGAATATTTCTCTCTCATTAAGTATTGTATCATTCACAATTCGTAAGCTATGGATTCATAGGTTTTCTGATATATCCGAGATCCTATAAATTTAAGGATATTTGTAATTTGAGAAAGAATAGGGATATGATGTAATTAACTCTTAACACTATATATGAGATTTATGTAATTTTACTTTTTTAAAATCTCAACGCACTTACTATTTCTACTTCTTAAAAAACGTTTGGAAAAAACAAATAGATAATATTATCGAGTAATTTGTGATTTGCACCCGAATAAAGTGTAAATCACAAAAGAGCACATACATTAAACGGTGCAAATAGCAAATTACTCAATATTATCATCAAATGACCCTTTTGATTAGTGTAATTGAACAACTTTATTAAGGGATGCATAATATTTAAAAATCCAATCCAAAATATGGTATTAGAATATTCTTCAGTGAATTTATTCTAGTTTATGTGGTCAAATTAATAAATTTAAATTTATTTATTTATTTTAAAAGAAAAGAATCGATAGAATTTTCACATTGATTTTGATCATCTATGACCCTCCTCCATCTATATAAAAGTCAATTCAATAAATTGATGAACTTGTAAATTTAATCATTTTTTCCTTAATTATATAAAATTATTTAGTAAAGTTACTTAATTGTGTTATTATCAATAAAGTCATTTATTTTTTTTGTATATTTCTCTCACAAAGTCATTCTAATTAGATTTTTCACTTCCAATCATAAATTAAACTTAGCAAAATAAGCTAATTTCTTATGCCACATACATTTACACAGCTATACTAAAACACCATAAGGTAGTATCATAATTTATACATTAATTATTTAAAGAATTATACTTGAATATAAAAAGCGTGAGAATTATGTATAATATTAAGTATAAAGCGTCGAAGATGAATGAAATACAATTATAAAAAATATACTATTATAACGATCCTCATTTTTCGACTTAGTAGTGTTATAAACATATAATTAAACTTTGATTGAGACATGGTGCATGTTAGTCATTTTTACATGTCAATTCAGCTCTTTAGGCAATTAATACTTAATAATTAATAATGTGTTAGAAAAATTAATACACTGGTCCACATCTTCTTCCTTTGCTTGAAATAAACAATCAAAACCAGCTAGCTAGGTCCAATTGCTTCATGGTAAAGAAAATTATATGAAATTTGGCAGGGGTCGTTTGATAAGGTGTATGAGAATAATGTTGAATAAAGTATATTAATAATATTGATATTAATAATATTGGTATTAATTATGTTAAAGTTATTTTTTATGCATCGTTCGATTGGGTGATTAAAAATAATCAGAATTGTATAACAATTATATGTTTATAAAAATATCCTCCACAAATATGTTGGAAATGATGTGGAAAAGATTTTGAGAGATAATTATGTCTTTATTTTTTTGGATAATTATGTCTTTAATAACTAATGTGTACATTAAGAACCTTTGCATTGCTAATACCATGATTTGTCATGTATTCGTTATTCATAACATGATATCAAATAGAGTGTATAATTTTACATTAGTTATACATAAATTGAAAAAGTGAACCAAACAAAGTGTTATAGAAGAATAAAAAATAATTAATTTCAAAATTAATTTTAAGATAAATTTATTTCATATTTAGTTGGGATAAATTTGCATGATAACTTATCTCAATTATAATTATTTCTAAGTAAAATGTTATTTTTATCTCGCATTAAAAATGAAATAATTATTCTAAAATTAATATTCCGACAAAATCTAATCGTAAGAAAACAAGATTCTTACGCAGGCAGTATTCTATTTTGCAAATAATATTATATTCCTAAGTGCACCAATATTCATCATAGCTTTTTCATAAATCCACAGCTCTTTTGTTTTTTTCTTCAAAAAGTCTGTGTTGTTACTTCAGTGTCATGGCTAGGCTCATAATTGAGTTGTTATTTGGAACAAGGAATTTCCACAAACTAGAAAAAGTAGAATAACAATTATTAATAAGGCTGTACAAATTAGATAATTATTTGATGGTTACAAGAAAGTCCCAAACGACACCTACTAGCTGTAATTAATATGAAATAATAGAATTTAGGTTTATGGTGTGTGGCCAATATTTTGGTGTTCCCAGCCAACAAATGTATTCTAGTGACTTGTTTGTATCCCATAATATAATTCTTTGTTTATACCCTCCATTTTGTATAAAGAGACAAAAATATTGTTCTAGATATATATAAAAATGTATATGACGACTGGCGAAACATATATATGTATCTCAAGTATATGCATGTCAAAACAAGTGTAATTTATTCTAGATACAC